TATATAATATATATATATATATATATATATATATATATATATATATATATATATATATATATATATATAATTGCATTCTACCTATTACACTGTCTCTATTATACATATACCTTTGCTCATGCAACAGTCGTTCTCATTTCTGGTTAACACTGGTTAACACTTGCTTGCCTTTTATATGCGCGATAAGCATGGGGGATGTTAGATTCCTCATGGACATTAGTAAGTTTGTTTATATTTAGTTTTCATTTCAGAACAAAGCTTTCTATCCAATTGTTGACATCCTTTTGATATAAAGACAGACTGTAAAGAATAAATGCATATATGCACGCCAGTTAAACATAATTATATCAAAAAATTAAAATGCAATTAGGCTACCAAAAACAATGATCAATATAACCGAACTTAATTCACCGTTTTGGCGTGTATATGAATTTTTACACACTGTCTTTACGTCAAACGGAAGTCAACAGTGGATAGACAGCTTTGTTCTGAGGTGAAAACTAAATAAAAATAAACTCACATAGAAATTATATATATATATATATATATATATATATATATATATATATATATATATATATATATATATATATATATATATATATATATATATATATACGATTTGGTGTGGATGCGTATCAAGCCTTTGCTCAGAAAAATTCTGAGCCCTAACGGGAATTGAACCACGTAACCTTCTGATAACCGGACAGACGCTCGACTATAACCATTGAGCTATAAGGCATCAGATGGTGAGCCAAGGTTACCTTTTTTACTAATTCTGTGCGTTACATGTGTACTGGTAACTGCAAGCCTGGACATGTCTTGTTGATGTTGTTATTAATTAAGAACTGCATTTCTGTATATGTGTGTTTCTGTGGCAGCATTTCTGTGTATGTGCGTTTTTGCGGCAAAGATGTAGCTAACACACAGAATTAGTAAATAACGTAACCTTGGCTCACCATCTGATGCCTTATAGCTCAATGGTTAGAGAGTCTCAATTCCCGTTATAGGGCTCAGAATTGACGTGGTTCAATTCCGGTTATAGGGCTCAGAATTTTTCTGAGTATAGGCTTCATACGCATCCACAACAAATCACATATTCAATATATGTATATATATATATATATATATATATATATATATATATATATATATATATATATATATATATATATATATATATATATATATATATATAATTTCGCTTGCCTCAAAAATTCCGCAACAGTCTGTTTCATCTGTAAAGAATCATCAGGCGAAACAGACTGTTGCGGAATTTTGAGGTAAGCGAAATGCTATATTTGCTCTGTCTTTAAGGTATTGAGCAGTCATGGCGTTTCCTATGTATAAAAGTACTCGAATGTACTCGTTTTGCGTCAAAAACCGCAACAGTTGTTGTGGTTTTTTGAGGTAAAACTATATTACGCGGTCAATCTATATGGTATTGAGCACTGCTCATGTTTCGCAAACCAACAACATAATATATATATATATATATATATATATATATATATATATATATATATATATATAGCTTAAGATTTTGGTTTACGAAACACAAACAGTGCTCAATACCATATAGATAGAGCGTAATATAGTTTTTCGTTTTACCTCAAAGAACCACAACAGTCTGTTTCATCCGTATAGGAATCATCAGGTGGTGAATAATCTCGAAATTGTAGGTTGCTTTTATGCTATCGAAAGAATGTGCGGAATGCGTGTAGGCGAAACAATGCTTACAGTAGGTGAAACAATGCATGCTTGGGTCATTAGGTTTTGTTAACGACCGTGTTTACTCGAAACCGGTTTTGTGACGACATTTGCC